ATATAGATATTAAAATTTAATTAGTATGTGTAAATCTCCCAAAATTGAAGGTAACTCAACACAATTCTTAGCATTTATATGTCTTAACACCTAAAATTTGATACTTATATTTTTAACTCTTTGGTGCTAAAATTTATGCATGAAAGGTGTATTTTGTTAATGAAAAGTTAATAATAGAGTTATTTTTTATGTAATGGCAAATAATTGAGTGGCATGTGTTTAAATACGGCTACTTAAGTGTTAAATATTTAAACATATAGGAATTGTGTGCTATGCAAGTACATGTCTTTAATTCTTTTGGTTTATCTTGAATTTTATTCAATATATAAAAGCAATTATAAAATCAACTTGTTGAGAACATGGAATGGAATGGAATGGTGGCTTATGTTCACTTGATTTGGTTATGTTTAAGTAGATCTTTCTGTTATACACATCTATTTATTTGAATTAGTTGAGACATAATGTTATTTTTATCAATGACGACTGATGAAAAGTCTTATTGAGAAAAATAACTATAATTAATAATGAAGCTTCATGCTCATACAAGTCATTGTTGTCTCCTTCGAATGTGTCGGTTGACGATAGTACAAATTTATTTTAGATGTTAGAGTGACAAATTAAAACACAACTTATTTTTTGACCGATTGACTTAAAAGAGTTTATTTTTATCAATCTCTCGTTTCTTGCATACACATAAGTAAGAAAGAGTGAATCTATTTTAAGGGAAGGGTTTTGCAAAGAAGACCTCTAATATCAAAGTTTATAAATGAACCCGAAAGGAGAAAAGAAAAGATATTTTGATAGATTTTGATATTTTCTTGTCTTATTGAGAGATATTTATAGAAGTTGGAGGATATATGTTGAAATTTAAGAAAAAAGGCTAAAGAGATGAGCCAAGCCCTTTTAGACAATCCTTAGAAGAATTTGTTAATTACATCTAAAGGAATTTACATGAGCATTAAAAATCAAAGTAAATGCTCCTTAGTTTTTAAAAAACTCTCATGATCATTATTCTTTCCTAGCAAAAATTCTCCTAAAGTATTAAAGGAATTTGCATCGACGTTAAAAATCATAGTAAATGCTTCTTGGTGTTTAAAAAAACTCTCAAGATCATTAGTCTTTTTTAGTAAAAAATCTCCCAGAGTAAAAGTGATGATTTGAAAAATAATTAATACATGACACTTCATGCAAAAAAAAAAATTCAAGAGCACTCTTAACACTCCTAGAGAGCATGCCATTACAAAATGTTGCATTCCTTTCTTAGACTTTTTCTCTTCACATTTTTTGTGTTTATGCTCTCAATGGTTAAGGTTTCTCTAAATCAACACTTAAGTTATAATACCATCCTTCACTAATTAATTTATAATGTCAACTTTCTTCATTAATGTTTATACTTTTCAATGATTGAAATTCAAGTATTATATTAATTTTGGGTATAGCTCCCAGTTTCGTAAGACAGACTTTTATGGGTTGAAAAAAGCTTACATGAATTTTAGATAATTGAGTTAAAGTATAACATGTAGGCATAAAATATATAATCAATATAGAGTTAACATTATCATGTTAATTTTTATGGAGCTTTAATATGTGAAAATTTGTTAGTTCATTTGCAATATTCTAAAAGAATTACTCTTTTTCAAATATATTAAATAATATGTATTATTCATATTATTTTTTTAAAAAATTATTCACTTGAGAAAAGTTCTAGTATTTGATTTTGAAAATAAAATTTTTGCCTTGATTGCTTATTACAAAAAAGTTATAAATTTAATTTTGTAATGGTCATTTTTAATAGTGAAGTTCACAGTGTTATAATTATAAATTTTAGTCTTGTCAAAATTATTTAGAATTGTACATTCTCCCCACATATCATTAGAAATGTATAGTCGTGTATTTTCTTCTTCTTTATTTAGTTGGTTAAAAGATCACTAAGGTTGTTAGAGAGGAGTGAAATCTTAAGGGAACGTAATGACTAGTTTATAATTTCCTTATATTAACTTCCAAAGGTTTTCTTATAGTCAATGGTAAGTTTCTCTTATAATGGAAAAAGAAGACAATTAGATCATTGATTTGGAAAATTAACCGAATAGTGGAAGCGATTTTAAGTAGTTGATTGAAAATATAGATCAAATGTTGTATATATATATATATATATATATAACCTTGTAGAGAATTTTATTATTATTGCCAAAATTTTGCAGGGGCTGACTCGAAGTTTCAGTTAAATAGTAATTCAACTCACACAAAAACAAAACCTGAGGAACTCCATCGAGTATAGAACGCACGCAAAAAAAATCCCGCAAAATACAACGACCAAACACAAGCAGTTCTAATGAATGGGATACTGCTTAAATCATCAGAGATAAGAGCATCAACATTTAGAAGAGGGTAGACACTAATAAGAACAAAGCTTGAAAAAGCACACAATTTGGCTAGAGAATCTGCCAACATATTCGCTTCTCTGTAACAGTGAGCCGCCTAACTTGAAAGCGACAAAGAAAGCAAAAATTTTCTTTGAAATATGCATATAAAGCCAAGGAAGTTAGTAAAATTGTTGCAAATATTATAAGTCAATTTCAAATCGGTTTAAAAAATCAGCCGGTACACAACAATCCGATCAGCAATAAGCCATAAAGCACCGCTAGAATTTTAGAGTATAGAGCAGAAAAAAGATGATCAAGGAGCAGTAAAATACGTCCGTCCAACTAACCCCTCTGTAATTTTGACACAAACCTCCCACAACCGTATACTCTTCAGTTAAGCAACTATCTAAATTAAGTTTAATAACAAGAAGATATGGCTTACACCAAAACACCAACCACAAAGGAGAGGCACAAGAAGGTTCATCCAGAATACTCATTTGCCTATTAATGTTTATGAGGCCATTAAATCGGCTACACTGCACTTAGAATTTTTTAAACCTTATAGATTAAGGCTTTAATGTTCAAAATCACCCTATTAACCAGTGAGCAATTTTCAATATGCTCTATGTTTTTGTGCTCCTTACAAATAAACCAACATCAAATAAATGGCATCGAACTTGTTAAATGACTCCCACTGTAATGCTAGCACCAATCATCCAAGCATTGCACAAGAGAGGTGTACCCAACAATAGGAATAAAAATTTAAAAGTACTTAGCCATTTCTAACAAAACATACATTCATTGAAAGAAAAAACGCGAAAAGGAGGGAAATAACATCCCTTTCAATTTTAATATGTCATCCACCGGCAAAAACTTAAATTTAAGTTTGCAAGGAAAGAATGCTTACGACGGTTTATGAGAAGAACTCCAACTATCAATGCCGCCTTTTACCCCTTCAAAAGTATGAATTTGTTGTGACCCTTCTCTTGCTTCCCCCAAGCTTGATCTTTTTTCCTCCATCAAAAAGAATTTTAGAAACAACATTATTCAAATCATTACCCACAAGGTTTTGGAGTTTGGATTGATTCCATTCATCCCCACTCAAAAACTCTGCCATTGTGGTGTTATAATTGCCAAGTAAAGGAAATTTAGCATGTGAATGACCTCTAAGGTTCGATCGTCAAACTAAAAAGACTCCACTTTGTCTCTCATTTTTAGAATTTCCTTCCTCATAATTGAATCACCAAGGTTAGGCTTGGCCTAAAGAGAATGTTTATTATAAAGATATTTCTTTTTCATATATGTATATATATATATATATATATATAGCTCACATATTGTAGCTATTTTTATGATGCCGAACCCTAATCCTGACATAAAGAAGGGGACGCAGGAGAACCAAACTTATGTGACTTTACTTGTGCAATCTTATGCAATCAAGCCAAAAAATTATTATATTTAAGAGCTTTATAGTGGGTTATCCACTCTCCCCCTACTCTCCATCTTTGATCGTCCCATCTCTTTTTTGTTTCCCTCCATGTAAAATAAGGTTTTGGAGTAACTCAAGAGCAGACAATATTCTCAAAGGTATAGTGAGTATGGATCTATACCATAAAACAAAAGGGATGACTAGAGATAATCAAGAAATGTTGATAGAGAACTAGCTACAGAAGTACCAACTAAGGAGATTTCAATAAATATGAAGAACCAAGAGTTTTCCACTACCAAAAAATTAACTTAAATGGAAGAGGGCCCTAATTAAATGATTCAAGGGACCCTAGACCAGATCCAAAGAACAACTTACAGGGTGCAATTACCTTAAGGCTCCACTAATTCAGTAGTTAGGAGAAGAAGCCCTAGAGCAAGTGCACTTTCATCCACCGTAATGAGAGGTATTACTCAGATTCTAAATATATATATATATTTTGTGGACTGGTCACGATAGTTAGGTAATAAGAGATTATGTTTTTTTTTTAACGAGCACGATTCCATTTTTCATGAGGTTTAATGTTGTTAGGATTCTGAAAATGTAATGGGATGTATGATTTTAAATTTAAATAACAGATGTATAACAATGCTTACAAATTTTAGCAATCACTTATTCACAAATCAATCAAAAATATTGTTGTCCAACTTAGTTATATGTATAAGTTTATTAGGAGATCAAAAAAGTGTATTTTTATTAAAACAACGAGTTGTAAATACCATAAAAATTTATGTAAAAGAGGATAAAAACACACTCAAAATTTATGACTAGCGGATATGATCGCCCTATCATCGACTTGTCATACTTTAGAAAATAAATACATCACTTAATTATGAAGAATTCATTTAAACCTTTGCTTAAAATTAAAATCATTTATTTGTAATGATTGTTGAACTTTAAAAAAAAGTTTTCCTTTTTAAAATATTATATCTATGATGCACCCTTATTTTAAAAAAAATTTAAAAATACAAATTACAAACTTTATTTGTCATTTTTTGTCATTTTAAATGTTCTTAATTGATATAGTGGGAGGCCTCCTTAATCATCTAATATCATATAATTATAATTAATTTAATAATATGTAAATTAATTATTAATTACAAATGAATTAAATTAGTCAAGTATTTATTCATCACTTCCCCTGCGCGAAACCCTAGCCTACATTTTCCCCTCCCGGTTTCGACCAAACTAGCCGTCTTCGCGTACACCCTCGCTTTTCTCCCTCCCCTTCTCGGTGGTTTCGCTTAAAACCATCGCCTTCGTGAACGATCCTTCAGGATACAGTCGCCATTAGAGCTACCTGGGAAGTCAACGACGGGATCGCGGCTTACGTAGACCACCGAAACTTCCATCTTTCTCATCCTTCCGCTCCTACCAGAAACCATTGAGGAAGGAAGGTAAGCCTGTTCGCGCTATTATTCCTCTTCGCTCGTCCTGGATTTACTAAATCCGCCGATTCACGGGATTACTAAATTCCGGATGTACGGTGAATCGGCGTCATTTTAGGATTTGCCAATTCTCAGGATTTAAGGAGATGCATTTTGCTGTTTGGCTGGATTTAGCGTAAATCCTTCTTAAAATCGGCTACCAAACATCCCCTTAGGAGTTGCGACTGTTATACATGTAATTCTTCCTTTTAGTTTTTCGGTATTATGCAAACTGGATATAGATGTTTTTCTGCAGGTTTCGCATGCTCTATAAACTACGGCATCGTGGGCTGAAAACCTAACCAAAGGAAAAATTGCAGCAGGAGGATCACTGTGCAGAAGAACAATATAGCCGACGGCAATGGTAGATCTTTGTCCCGTTATCCTATTTCGTATAACTCAGCTAATTGGGTTTTCATTTCCTGTACTGTTACATAGACGTTCAAGCGCAGAAATGGTGGCCGCAACAAGCACGGCCGCGGCCACGTCAACTTTATTCGCTGTTCCAACTGTGGAAAATGCTGCCCCAAGGTGCTCGCAATTCTATAACGTGATTTTTTTCATTATATTGCTCGTGCGTAAAAAAAATTCAAATAGCTGGTTCAGTTATGATCTGATGAAAAAAAAATGGCTCGTTTTCTTTGTTGTTTGCAATTGCTCTGCATCATCAAATTGTTCGTATGGTTTGAATGTGAGCTGTAGATTGCGAGTTTGACGCAGAACTCTGCTATATTTCTGCGTTTTTTCTCAGGATAAAGCTATCAAGAGGTTTCTGGTGAGGAATATCGTGGAGCAAGCTGCGGTGAGGGATGTGCAGGAGGCCTGTGTCTATGAAAGTATTACTGCGACTTTAATATTCTCTTGATTTTTTTTTTTCTATTCACTTTTTACCCGATCAAAATATTTTGTTGCAGATTATACCCTTCCAAAGCTCTATGCTAAGGTCCAGTACTGTGTTTCCTGCGCTATTCACTCTCATGTTGTAAGGGTTAGATCCCGCACTGCCAGGAGGGTTCGCGAGCCTCCACAACGGTTCAGGCGCAGGGTATTTGATCTCTCATTTGATATTTCAGATTACTTTTGCTGATTCAGATGCAAATTCATGATGCCATTTTTTTTTCAATATTACTTCTCAAAAAAGAAGTAAAACTCTTTAAAGAATTTAAGCTTATACTATCATCTTATCTTCAATGGGTGTCATTCTTTATGGCATTTTTATTATCAATTATTGCTTTATTATACTTGGTTTTTTCATACATCTTCATATTGAATATCTTGTCTAACTTGACTTCTGTGAAATTTAACCTGTAGAGTTTTGCATTTTTCCTTTTTTATATATTGCACTTTTATTTGCATAGTACTTTTTTAGACATTTTATTTCTTGGTTCCAAGTTTTACTTCAAAATTCATTCATGTTTAAATGCTTTCGTTTTTCATGTCTTGTTTTTCGTATTATTCTTATGATACATATGGATGGAATTTGTCAATCTCTCATTCATTCATTTATTGGATCTATGATATTTTAATATATCACACGTTGTTATTACCTGATTTTTCATTATTATAGATTGATAATTTCCAACTTCATTATTAGTAAAATTTCTCACAAGGCTCAAGATTTCGTTCTATTAATCTTAAATCCATTTTCTTCTAAATATTTTATTATAATAATTTTAACCTCTCCTGAGCTATAAAAGAGGGCTGTTATATTAAAATGACTTTTGAGAAGAGCATGCGAGTGTTTTGAACATCTTTTGATAGCATCTCTATGACCAATTAAAAAAATTTGAATTTCCAATATTTTCGTGGGTTTTTTATTACTCTCTACAAACCCTTATGATAGTAAGCATTATCTTATCATACATCCATCTGATAACTTTAATGCATCATTGAGGCATGTTTCTTGTTGATGCCTGTGTTGCCCCATGTTCATGATTCCAAATCCGGTGCTAAAGGCATTGGAATTGGTAGGAAGTGATCGGGTCAATATATTTGGATTTTTATGGAATGATTTGAAATATAACTGGACTCTCCTCGCTTCTCTGCCTTAAAACAATGAATGTATCCGCTTTTACTAGTGGAAAAATGGCACAACAGCAACCTTTGGTTGTTTTGGCAATCTAACCAGAGAGGAAAAGGGAGTCCTCGAGTACCTGCAAAGCTTCAAGGCCAAAACAAAGAGGAAGTGGGAGAGCTGGTGGGGCTATTGTTCTATAATAACAAAAGCGGCGGTTCAAGAGTTTTGCAGTAGGGTGATTTTGTGATTTTTTGAACTATGAAGCAGTCTTCATTCAACCAATGCAAACAAACACATTTCCTCTTGAATTATGACTAATTAATTAATCTCATGGTAATCATTTTTTAAATCAACAAACAACTTGATTTTTTTTTGTTATAAGTCTTTTTTAATAATTTTTTTTGCACAAAAATTATTCCATTAAGTTATCTTTGTAATATTCAACTCGAGTCTTTGTGGATTGTGATTTTCCTTGTTATTCCATTACCCTCTTGTTTCACTTCTAGCGGATTACTCATTTACTTCTACACAAGTGCCCAATTGCTAAACCTCATTCTTTTCTTAGAACATCTACTCTTTAATCAAATATTGACATTGCTTTTATTCACTAAAATTTTATTAAAACGAATTGGTCAACCATATTATTCAAGCTTCAAAACTCTTTATACCTAATTCGGTATCCCATTTATTCGTGAATGTTTATCTTTATTCATATTCTTCCCAGTCAACATAAATTTTTGGATAAGTTTCAGGTGCTTTGCATTTTAGGTTTCATTTTTAAGTTTTATATTCTTTAATTTAATACTATCATTTTCTCATCAGCACCATTTGCCTTTGTCCAACTGTTAAGGATTAGCATAATAAATCGTTGTTTATGCAAATATTCTGTGTGCATTATCTTAGCCATTTAGCTTTTGATGAATGCGTTTTTTTACTCCTTTAGCATTTAAAAAAAATCACTTCGAGTGCTATTCCTTAACTATATGGTTGTCCTCCATTGTACATTCCACAAGCATTTTGTTGTTTAAAATTTTCATCATTGCAAAATGTATGATTGATTGGAAACTTAAGATAGTTAATCAGTGTTATATAGCAGGACAAAAAAAAAACCTCAAGGTTAAAAACAACACTCGAACTCATGATATATTTAGCTTAAGCTGTTCGTAATTTGAAGTAGTAGTTGGGCTCTGTTTTGAATGTAACGCATCCTGAAATAACTTCTTTATCTAAATTATGTTACTCAGTTTTTATGAATCAGGGAAAGATACTGAATCAT